AAACTTGAGTTTTAAGATAAACACTCAAAACCAATAAAGAAAACTACAAATTTGACAGATCATAAGCCATGAAAAGACAAAAAAAGATGGGTTTTAGAATGAAATTTCAACTGCTTACCCTCTTTCTTGTTCAGAAACTCAGATTAAGGTTGAATTAATATATGTATATATATTTCAAAAAAACCCAAGAACATATTAACTCAAGACATATTATACAGTGCAATTTGGACAGCCTAACCCCAAAATATATAGTATATATATATAAATAAATAACTATAAAAGTATAAATCGTAAATATTAAAAATATTTTTTCACAGTATATATAATATATAATAATATAATTACGTCAAAAACTATTCATATTGGACTCATTTCGAAGGTATTAACGAGACGACTATAATGGTGTAACTTGTTAAAATAAAAATGTATTTTTTAAACATGTTTTAATTAATATACGATTATGTATGTTAATTTGATAAATGTTTAAAATGAAACATTTAAAAGTTAATGACGTAAAGTAAATTAATTAATTAATTAATTATAAGGGTATAAAGTGTAAATTTAAAATTATAATTTAAAAAAAAAAAATTGGTTGTGAGAGGGTGAATGTACATGAGGGCTGAGTGTATGTGAGGAGATGAGGGGGGTGAAAAAGTGAGTATAAAGGGTATTTTGGTCATTTAGAATTTTAAGATTTTAAGACTTTTGCTAAATTTGCTTAATAAAATAGTATAGATATGAATCTTCTTTTAAGACATTGCTAAAAAAAATAATAAAAAAATCTATAATAATTTTTTTTGTTCTCTCTCCTATCTCCACTTCCTTGTTTTTCTCCAATCTATCTCCTATTTTCTCTATTATCTTTTCTTTTTCTCCACAACATACACATACACATACACATACACATACACATACACATACACATACACATACACATACAATTGAATATGAAATCAAGGTCAGCACATTTTGACACTTATTTAGAAATATTTTTATGGTTTGTGAACATATTGTGAACAGACTCTAAATCTACAAGATCTGATATAGTTTGTGATCATATTATGAACACAAACTAAATTTAAATATATCGTTTGTGAAGACCCTAGTAAAAAATTATTAAGGTTTTTTACATAGTGTTCACCTTGTGTGCATGATGTATATGTTAATACAAAGATGAGATATATATATATATATACACACACACATATACATATGGCTCACACGTCAATAATTATTTTAGATATAAATATTCTTTTAGTTCATTGGTCTTTTTTCAAACTTTTTCCATTATTTCATCACATTAACCAGTTGTATAGGTTATAAGGATGTATCTAACAAGTTTTAGAAAGTCCAATGAGTTATTTAACATGTTTTGGAACGTCCAAGAACTTAATTGTTCCAAGAACTTAATCATTCCAAACACTAAAGTCCGTTGAGGTTTTTTTTTATACTTTTCTTTAAAATATATTAAAAAAAACTATAAAATTGTCACTTTACATAAACTTAATGGTAAAAACCAAAGTTTTTGTACAAGAACCGAAAGAGGTTGAGGTTCTTATAAGAACTCTCCATAATGGTATTTTCCATAAGTCACTTCACTTTATACATATAAGAACCTTGTACTAAAGATGCTCTTAGAAAAACTAATTGTAATATTGGTTGATGTTGCATTGTCATCTCATTTTGAAAGACCACCTAAAACGATATTGAAATGCTGACTAGATTGACAACCTCTACAATTCTGAAGAAAAAAAAACTGATTTAAAACCTAGCAAACCGAGGCCCGTGTGGATGGTCTAACTGGAAGCCTTGAGACCTAGCCATACCGGGTCTTGGGTTCACTAGGCCCGAGCTTCAGATTCCCGATGATCCCGAGGATATTTTCTTCCTCAATTTTTCATATTACCCCCTCTTGTTTCTTGTATCATACTATTACCCTAATAAAATCCAGATTATCACCAAATGATCCTAAAACAAAAACAAAACAAAAAAAGTTAATATTTTTATCTTTAAAACTAAAGATTTCACAAAAAAAAAAAACCCATCTTCAATTAATGGCAGATACTAACAACAAAAGAAAAAGAAAAAAAAAACGCATGATAAATATAATAACAATATTGAAATCAATCAACCACCGGTGGCGGTGGCGGCGGCAGGGCGGAGGACGGTGGCGTTACCAACAGCAGCAGGAGGGTAATTTGATGGAGAAAGAAGAGGGTAAATGACCGGTCCTCCTTATATAATCAGCTCTTTCACAAGTTTTTATAGCTTTTTCATTTAAAATAGCTTCAGCTTTTGCTCGTTTCTCTTCTGCTATTCTTCTTGTTGAAGCAAGTTTGTTTGTATACTTCTCTTGTGCTCGAGATTTCAGTCTTTCGGCTTTCGCCTAAAAAACCACAATTTACACGTATTCAAACACATATCAGATTACAAAAACACATATTTCAGACTTTAGTATCGCCTCGTATTGATAAGAATGTGAAATAAGACTTTAGAGTGCAACACTTTTTAAAAAACAAATCCAGTTTTATCCACACCAAGTTAAAATTGAATTTATAGGACGCCTAAAATATTTAAGGGTTTGTTTGTTAGTAGCTTAATGATATATGTCAGGTAACACTTTAGCAAGTTGGGCAAGTAATATTTTAGCAAGTAGTACTATAGTGGCACTTCTACGTCAACATTTTGCAAATAGCACTTTGACAACTTGTGAAATTGCTAATTTATGAATATTATATCTGTAAAAAATATATTTCATAAGTTGTTAAAGTATTACTTGCGAAATCTTAGCTATTTCAATCAATTATGTAGGAAATCGGCTATAAAGTGAATTAGAGGTCAAAATGGTTAGGTGTATTGTACCACCTTTACACAGGGTACCAAAATGGCTAGGTGTAATATCAACTTCAACCGGTTATCCGATTATTTAAATGTTTAAAACTTTACATATTAGGTATCAAAATGGAAGTTTTGAAAGTATGTTACCCAAAATAGGAATCAAGTTAAAGTACGTTACTTTTTCAGGCAATTTGTCCTCGAACCAAAAACACGAAACTATTACCTCCGTTCTTTTCATTTCCATCTCGGCTTTTCTCTTTTCGTGATTCTCCCAAGCTTCAATCTTCACCTCTTCGCGCTTAAACCTGCCAATCAACAACAAAAACGACGCGATTTTTAACACATTCGATACCAATCTAGAGCACATACGTATCAGATACAACACCGGTAGCCAAAAAAAGATAACCTTGCCATATATTTTGCGCGCTCCGCCTCATCCCAAGCCATCGCTCGGGTTTCTAGAGGGTCTAACTTAGAATCTGGATTCGGGTTTCTAGTTTCAACCACATTTTCGACATAAGTTTCTTCGCTTTCTCGACCAAACCTCGTGGTTCCACTAGCATCAACTTTAGGTGCAACCGTGGATGCGGCATTTGGACATGGTCGAACCGGAGTTGAGGAACCCGAGGCTATAGGGCTGCGTGCAGCCGGGGTCGTGGCTCGAACCGGTGTGGCGGATCTTGATGGCTCTTGGCTAGCCATCGGGGTCATTTCGGTCCCCATATCTCTTACACAAATAGATCTAACACACATTGAATCACCAAAATCAACCTTTTTTGTTTCTATTGCTCCATATTGAATCAAATTTGCATCTGTTTGTTCTTCATCTTCACTACTTGGATAATCTTTTTTCGGAACCGGTGCGATCAATCTTCGATCGTCAGCATTAGAATCGCGTGGCTCGGTGTTTGAGTGGTTCTTATCTCCAACTCTAGACAAATTGACCAGCCATTTTTGGGCATCATCCCATTTTGATGGTGTTGGTTTGCCTAGAGCGGTCCGATGGTGGTGCGAACCACGGTTCGCCCCGCTTCCTTTCTGAAACTCGAAATTGCCGCCCCCGTTGCCGCCACCAGGAATCTCATGAGTTGATGCAAGATTCAAGCTGCCCTTATCCTCTATAGACCTCATAACCGATCACTTTGATCAAAGATCAAAAACATGAACTCAATAACACCTTTTCTGCTTACTCTTTAATGGATATCTAATGAGCTAATCCACTAAAAGCCTTATCATTAATGTCAAATTAACCAAATACCAAAAATACCCACATCCCAAATTGGAATCTTTATTATCTTTAATTAAATAAAGAACACAGATCTAAGCATATAAAGGCTAAATAAGTATAAAGATGGTGGCTTTAGTCTTGAAACAAGAAAGAATCCTGCAAGAACTCAATGTATATAAAGTTCACAGTCAAGAAAACTGAAATTTTACACAAAGAACGGTTAAAATCAAACTAAATTAGTGAAGTAGAAGTTGAAACTTTTATGGGTTTCATGAATCAAACTGTGATAAGAAACTACTCAAGGATTAGCAGAAAGGCAGAAACTGGAGATATGGTTATGCACATAAGGTGTTTGAGAAAATGAGTAGCAAGAAACTATGAACTCAGAAGTGAATGAAACCAAGATTTCTAAATGGAAACTGTAACACCAACTAGAGAGAGAGGCAGAGGGAGAGGGAGAGAGAGTGAGAGAGATGTGTGAGGATTCAAAAAGGATGAAAAGAAAGCAGAGAATAAAACCTTGAGTTTTTTGAGATTGCAAATCATAATATAATATTAATAAGAGAGAAATAAAGATGTGATTCATTAAACAATGTGGGAATTGCAAGAAAACTTGGGTAATCAAGGGAAAGCCATTAATTCTTGTATTACCAAAATATCACTATTTCCGTAAGTAAATTTCATGATTTATAGAAGATCCTTAAGAATGTCGGATGTGTCACTTACGTATCTGGATGAAAACTGCATCTTTTTTTGTATTTTAGCTACCTTCGTAAGTCATGGAGGTGCTACTTGCAAAAGACAGAGGTATTTTTGAAAATGTCAGGAAATAAATGACTAACAGATGAATCCAATCCTTAAAAATGACTATTTCGATTAATTTCCCAGAAAACTTTCAAAGATTTCTGCTTTTTTATCCAATTTACCTTCATTTTTATTATATTATTTAATTTTATCATGAATTAAAGCAAACCCATCTCAAGAAAATGGTAAAAATACAACAACAAAGATCAAGGGCTCGTTTACTCAATTGCTTACCCGGTAAGCGCTTACCGGTATGAGTCAACACTATGATTTATTTTGATGTGCAAGATTTTAGTACATCAAAACATATTAAATGCAACAATTTATTGGGTAAGAGTCGTCATCCTCACTTACCGGGTAAGACTCTCCATCATTCTAATCGCTCTTATCCGATAAGATTATTGGTCATTTTTATGTTATCCGATAAAAAAATTTATATGGCATTAATAAATTGCCTAACATAAATACCACAAGTGATAAAAGTCAAAGTTTGGCATAGAGTAATGGGTCAAGTGGCTGAGATGAAAACAGAGATGGATTATAGATTTGGTTTTGCCATTCCAACGGTAACTATGAGAAGTACGTGGGGTGGGGGTTACAAATGGACGGATAGGATTTAACCAACACAAGTATGATACGGTAGGGTATAGAATGGGGTTTTTCTGAGATATTTCACATGGGGTTGTGACTTGTGATGGATTTTAGGGATGTGGGTACAAATGAAGGGGTATGGGTTCTTCCAAATTATAATCGACTATTTTCTTGGCCATTTAAAGCTGGGTGGGGTCCATGTAGTCTATATGAGTTATTTTCTTGAAAACCCAGACTGACGGTTTACCAAAAATACAGGTTTTCGTAAAGTTGTTTGGTAATTATGTATCTGAAACTTGTAGGTAAATGCTAATAGACTTTTGGGTTTTTCAGGAAATTGTTAGAGAAAGTATAAAAATGAAGACCGACAATATAATTGTTTCATTTGGACCCCACAACTATAAAAAATTGTACCACAGTATGTAATAGCGTATGACAATATAGCGTGAAGAAGGCATACAATAGCGTACTACGGGGTGTGATTTGGAAGAGGCTAGAGAATAGGGGGTATCGTATGTACCAGAGAACGAAGACTTGTGTCAGGACTCCAGTGGGTCAGACAGAGTGTATCTTATTTATTGTAATTTTGGATGGGATATCCTGCGAGATTTGGAAGAATGTTCCGTGGTGTGTGTTGTCGGTTGACGACATTGTGGCGATAGTGGCGTTGAAGGTAGAGGTGAATGAGAAGGTAGTGATTAGACTAGTTATGTTGTATGGGTCGAGGGAAGTTAGAAGTTGTAGAAATGAACATGCTTAGATGGACATCGCGTCGAAACATGTTGGACATGATACCGAACAATGTATTCCAAACTGAGTTGGAATCTACACTTGTCACTGATAAATTGAGAGAAGATTGTGTTGGGTTACGTGTACAAGAGATGGATGACGGCACAAGTATATAACGAGGGTAGAACGCGTCACAGTCAGAGGAGTGAGGAAAATGATGCCAAGCAGTATGTGGGATGAGCAGTTGATGATAGACATGACGACCTTAGACATTTCCGATAACATTACCTTTGATAAATGTTTTTGAAGATGCAGTAGCAAACTAGGTGCAGGGACGTAGGTAGAGTGAAGTGTAGTTTTTCTTACATTTTATGTGTCTTTTTCCCTACTCTCCCTTTCAAAAAAAAGAATTGTCGTATTTTACAAGTTGCTTCGTTTTTATTGTCAAAAGTATTTCACCTGCATTTTTTTCTTAAACAATGGGTCTTCACAAAAACAACCGTCATAGTTTGTAGGGGCGGAAGACAAGTCTAGATATGCCCCACCCCAGACCCTACTTTTGTGTAATTTATACCGAGTTTGTTTGTTCTGATTTTAACTGTAAAATAAATAAAGAGATCACGCAATTATGTAATCAAGTTCGTTTACATTAAATCTAGCTAAAATTGACAAAAAAAATCAAATTTTAAATAAAACAAACAAATAACGTCAATTTATCAACTACTATATCAATTGCTAGAACCCCACCAACTAAGGGTGACAACGACCACAAGGGTTATGATGAGATGGGGTCGAAGTCAAGAGGGGCGGGACAAAGATGGACGAATGAAGGTTATGTGGACAATGAGCGACCAAGGGGCGAATGCTGGAAGAGACGGCGGTATTGAATTAATCTGTTATTTGGTGATCAGACCCTAAATTCTAATTATTTTTCTTTGATAATTTTGAAATCTTAAATATAAATTATAAAAAATAAAAAAATGATATTAATTTTGTCATTTTTGATGTTATTTTTTTTAATTGGATTTAGTCTAAATAAACTTAATCACATAGTAAATATTATTTATTTAAAGCTTTTATAGTTGAACATTCTGGTGTTTGTTTTTTAAGATGTGGTAAGTCTGAAATCTAATTTCACTTCTAATTTATAAGAGATGGTCTTGAAGTCTGAAATCTAGATTAGTAAGACTGTTTGTTTTTACGTCTGAATCCTGAAATTTTAATTTGTCAAACTAGTTGAAAAATATAAAAAATAAATAGTTTTTGCTAACAAATCTCTTACAACCCCCAAAATATGAACCATTTTGATAGATGACGGATTAAGATTAAGAGGTATTAAGGGATATATTTACCACTTAAAATTTCAGAAGACATTTAGAGCTTTTAAGCTCTTATTTTAGAAATATGGAAAAAAAAATCTCTTAATATCCACACATCTGAACGAATCATACTTCAGATGTATTAAGAGGTAATTTTGAAAAAACAAACAGATCCTAAATAAATTAAAAAAATTGATTGCAATTAGGAATATTTATTTGCATTCTAATATTTGAATTTTGCATAAGACGACATTTATATGCATAACACTCTTGTTATTATTTCTTCACATGCATGTGTGGGATGAGGGATCAATGCATGTGACATAAGAGGGAAAACCGTTTTCTAAACAGCTCTTTTTTGTCTTTTTTTCTAAAATCAATATAATACATTTTTTTTTTTAGGAAAATGAATAATTATTTATTACAAAATTTAAAAATAAAATTGGTCAAAATAGTCAATCCTCATATATAAATTGATCTCCTGGTCATTTCTTTAACACTGATATACCTAAATATCACTACTTTCGCAAGCCCCACATCAGTCACTTGCAGATCTGGCTAAAAGACAAAAAAAAAAAAAAAAAAATTCAAAGCGTAGACCTGACTTTTGCAATTGCGGATCTGGATGTCGAATCTAATAATTTTTTTTGTCTTTTAGCTGGGTCCGTAAGTGACGGAAGTGAGACTTGCGGACGTAGTGATATTTGAGTAAATCATGGAGAGTAATAGCTACAAGACCATTGAGTAAATCATGGAGAGTAATAGCTACAAGACCAATTCATACGAGAGAAATGACTATTTTGGCCAATCTTCCAATTCAAAACTATTGATGGTATTATAACGTAATTTAGTATGTGAGCCCTCGGGGGTGTAGCTCATTTGCGGAAAGGGTGGATTGACTTTGTTTATATATACAATATATTCAAGTTCGAATCCTGCAGGAGACAGGCTTGAACGTCTTGTATAGCTTCAGTTGTTGAGTTAGCTGTAAAATGTCTTCTTATATATGGTTCTTAAAGGGCAGGTTTTTTGTGATGATCAGTTACATGTAATCAACCTTTCTGCTCAAATTTAGTAGGTGATAGTTTAAAACTACATATTCATATAAGTTCCTTAGGTTTTTTTATTTTGTGTGATTTAAATGTGTTAGCGATTTGTTTTAATTATATATTTTAATGTTAGAAATGAGTAATTTCTCAATCTAATTCTTTCATGTCATCTCAATTTCTCATCTAATTTATTAACCGACACTATAATTCAGATCTAGTTTATAAGCTAACAACTACTTTATCAACAATTTTTGTTGACTCTAACCCAAGGGCATGTTTGTCCACCGTAATGTGACGACCCATCAGAAGAAAGTATGTAACAATAAGTTACGGGTTGTTTGACAGTTACTGAATGATTTGGTGCAGAATGATTAAGTGGTCAGAATGATTAAGAGGCTCACTTGATATAGTGCAAAATGAAATATAATTGTTTGGTAATTATTTACAATGAAATTAAGACGCTGAATGATTAAGGAAGTCCCGAAATACAAAATCATTCAGAAAATTTTAGAACCATTAAGATACAGACTTTTTTTTTTTTTTTTGCCAAACAAGATTTACATCTCACCAATTCAGAAACAAACAACAGATTTTCTTGGAAAAACAAAACTATTTCAGTTAGCATTTTAATAAGCTCCATGGACTTTTTTTCACATTTTTTCGAATATGTCTTATATTTTACATAACTGATCAAAATCCTTATCCTTTTAACTAATTTTACATGATCAATTACTTTTTATCAAATATGACTAGTTCATAAGTTAGCTAGTTTTTAAACTAACTGGTTTATCAATCAAAAACTAATTTATCAGTTAGGCTCAATTTTTTAACAACTTAATGAGACACACAGCTTATTCAGTCCATTATACTCGAATATTTGGTAATAGCTTAATGATATAGAAAATTGATTATTTGGTAATTTCTAGGAGGAGCTTTATGTAAACACTCAAGTTTTTTTCCAAACCTACAACTCCCAATTAAGGAACACCTCCTTTCATCTATGGAAAAACTCTTAATCTATACAGACAGATTAATCCACACAGTCATCTTTATTCGTACAAAACTTAATGGAAAACCAACCAAACAACCTAACATCTGTAGCAAACACATTGGCATCTAATTGCTTTGCATTCCAACAACATTTATAATACTTCTACTCCATTATATAATGTGCATAGTGTCAACCAACAAATTCAATCTACATCAAAACAATGCATTACAATTCACAATAACCACAAATTCAAACACCCCTAAATTAAGTGCACAATCACTGCTGTCATCATACCCAGCAACCCTCCTGCAATAACCTGCAAATTTTATGTAAATAACTAGTCTGCATTTGCTAAATCCATGGTTTTAGGTGTGCATGATATCAACTACTACTCCACCTATGAATTGATATTTAACAAACGTCAAAAATACCCTTTTGTAAATGACAAAATACGAGAAATTTATGGACCCAAATCAATGTCATCGGTTTTTGCAAGGATGACAATGGGAAAAAGGCAACTGTAAGAGTTTGTTTGTTAGCAGCTTAATGAAACTCTATTCAGTAAGCTTCTAGGGGGAGCTTTATACAGAAAGCCAAATTTTTCCAAACCTGCCTCTCCCAATTAAAAAACATGTTCCTTCCATTTATGTTCTCAATCTATAAGAGAGACTAATCCACACAAACAACTTTATCTATACATGACTTATTGGAAAACCAGCCAAAGATTCCCTAAGTTGAGTAACATTTGGAGAACTGGACAGATGTATTATTTTGGTCATATTGTAGAAAAAAAGGGGATTTTTTACATAAATAGCCAAAGCTGGTAGGTGGTTTCACTTTTTAGCCAGTATCTAACCCAAATTCACCTTTTAGTCGATCCTTATGCACAAGGCTTACGCATATGCCAAACAGCGCAAGCATTGATTTTCGGCGAAAAATAATAATAAGAAGAATCTTTACGCAGAAAATTGGCTATTTAGTGAATTGGGTCCTGACATGGCTATAAAGTGAAAGAGTTGGATGGATTTGCTTTTTTTGTCAATTTCCCAAAAAGAAGGGCATATAAGCAACATGACCATAGGGCAACATAATGCGAACCTTTTAGCAGTTTGATAAGAAGGGTTCAGAATTTAAGACTTGCACAAGAAATTACATGAAAACAGACCTGAGGAGGGGTGTGACCAAGAAGTTCACGCAAGGGTCTGCTCTCAGCCAAGGGATGTTCAGCAGGAAGTTCATATACGATCTGATTCAAAACCTGAAAATTTTGCAATTTTGGACATGAAGAAATGATATCTTTACCAGATATTGTAACCATATCATCGACTAGTAACTGTATAGTACGGTCTACGATATGCTATAAAGAAATTTGATCAAATGCAACACAATTTGTTGACAACCAACATAAATGGCTCTGATGTAGCCAGAACACACACACACACACAGAGAGATGAATCAAACCTCTGCTTGACGCCCAGCATGCAATCGTACACCAGTTGCATCATACATTACCTGCCAGAATTCATTTTTTATAAGAGATCAGAAGTTATTCCCCTATGTTAACTTATTCAAGTTTGTTTCTAACCTATTCACTGCCTTACATGCATTCAGAAGTGCAAACCTTAGTTTCAAAGTAGTTTCATACAAGAAAAAAAACCGCATAAGTTCACCGGGGTGGAGCACGGTCCACCAATATCGGCATAGGTTAGGTGCTATTGATGGAAAACACATGATTTTGTCCCCATAATCATAATGAGAGATTTTAAGATAAGAGTGCAATCAAAAGCCAGTATGCAAAATTAGGAAAACACAAGATCTTAGAACAGATTCAATGTGCTATTGCTTTTTTGTGTCTAAAGCGACACTCCAGCATGTGCAAAGTTGAAATGACAGAAAATTATTGGTGACAAAGTATGGCTTTTATGGTGATGATATTTATACATTCTACTTCTTCTATTCATTTTACATGGATGCATCTTAAACAATAGCAGATGATTAAACGAACTTCATGGAATAATGGAAAGGATAAAGAGAATGATCATACTATACAAGCTAATATCAGTGCAGTTGCAAACGATGAACCACCAATGCCATCTTGTAACCCAACAGCAACGGCAAGAGCAGTGACTGTTGCAGAATGGGATGAAGGCATACCACCAGATCCAATAAGTTGCTTAAGATCCCAACGGTGTTCCCTATACCTGCATGTCTAGCCAATAGATATAAGAATCTTAGGATGAATCAATAGCAATAAATCAGATACATAAAATACTACAATAGAGAAGAGATACACAACCAAAAAAAACAACCAAATTAGAAAGTAAAGGTATAGTTTAGACTTTAGAGTGCCCAAGATGCGTAGATGTTCTTCTGTAACAAGCAAAATTTTGCCTAACCATTAGTCCTATTGGAATCCTAAACAGAATATGAGCTAATTCAGAAACACATTTCAGAGGATCCAGGTTCGATTCTTGTGCAGAATCTAAGACAATTAAGCGTATGACAAGAAGCTGAGTTTTGTAAGCATGCCGTGGCATCACTCTTCTGGAATCACACGAGTTCACAAAATCCAAATTTTGGCAAATTCCCCTGGATCGGGAACTAAATCAAGAACCGCTTTCAAATCATATGAATAAATCAGTAATCTGACATAGAAATATACGAGTCTCTACAACTCAGCTAGATACAGAAACCGGAATTGGGCGATTAGAAAGGCAACCATATATACATAAATATAAACCAAAATTAGGAGTAAATTGATGAAATGAACAAAAACCGTACCAGGTGGTGAAGACTTTAATGGATTGAGCAAGAGCGAAGGCAACCAGTGCAGAAATGAGAGCATAGTTCATATAAACAGGTCGAGAAGAGGAGTAAGAAGTGTTAGGCGGTGTTGTTACCATTGAATTGTGAGCCGAAGACAACCATGACGACGATGAAGTCGCCATTTCACCGAACGATCTCATGTTGTTAGATACAACACAAATGAAGTCGCCACTGAAATCAGAAACCGTTGATCCAACTGGAAATTTGGGGAATTGAGGATGCGAAAACGTGAAAAAGGAGAGAAAACGTAAAGGTTTTTGATTTGTTTGTTCGCATAGGAAGGAAGAAGAAGGAATCTTGAAGATGGCGGTATTTCCCTCTACTTCGATTAATTAATTATTTGGAGCCCTAGTTTTATGGTCAAGTGTCATGGAACTAGAATATGCCCTTGTTATTTCTTTTAGATACCTTCGTATCAATCATTCACAAACAAACGCAACATATAGCATGTAATCGTATACCAGCGATTAAATATAAATCATTTATATTTATATAAACTATATAAATTATTTTTATTCGTTTATTTAATCGTTTAATCTTACAAAAAAAATGAGCACCACCTCCCGCATGAGAAAGGGAACAAGAAGTTTTTTCAAAAAACTTACTGGGAATGAGACCTTCTTGAATAACATTCAAGTCAGCCCCGCTGTCAATCATTGCTAAAAAATCYTTTTGAAAATGGCCATCTATAAGAAGGGTAATTTTTGTAAACCATTTTTGAGTAATCATGCGACTGATAGTAGAAAGAGTAGCATTATCAGGCGGCTTAGTAGAAGAAGAAGGAGAAATATTCTCTGGTTCTTTCGATTCTTCAGACGGAACATGAAAAGTAGCATTTCTGACTAAAAGGTCTTGACTTGCAGAAACAATTGCAAGATGTTTATGAAGAAGAAGTTTGAACTCAAAGACTGTAATAACAGTCATTGGAAAGCCAAATTTATTGATGGCCTTCCTCATCTTTTTGCTGAACGAGTCCGCAAGATTCTAAAAAAAGATGGTATTTCTGTAAATTATGATGATTTTACTTATGGTCAACTGATCAGTACTTGTATTGCAGAAGGTCTTTCTCTTTGCAATGATTTGAAATTAAAACACCAAATCAGGAAGCAGAATCTGCTTGAAAGAAAACAACTTGGTGATTTTTGTGACCAATTTGGTAGAAACAATTGCAAGATGTTTATGAAGAAGAAGATTATCTTCTTTTAAAGCAGGTATAGCACTGTTTGTAAAAACACAGACAATAATGATAAAGCTATTGCCAAGATGATTATTGCTGGTTTCACTGGTCAACTAAAAGGATGGTGGGATAATTACATCCCCCTTGATCAAAAAGATCAAATTCTTAACTCTGTTAAGGATTCAGCATGCTCTTCTGGCTCAGAGATTTGAGTCTGGTTAAGAGTAAATAAGGGTTTGAAATAAATTCGATAACAAATACAGAAAACTTCKGTTCCTGCAGCATAGTTATAACCATGAGTTTTAACATTTAATGTTAAAGCATCYAAAATATTAACATCTGTTAAAGATAAACTTAGATTAGGATAAACATCAAAATAAACTGGACCATGAGCCAGACTAGATTGGATCATTCCAATTAAGGATTGCTGCCAATTTAGATTTCTTCCATCTCTAAGAGCTGCAAGAAAGCTTTCTGGCAATCCTTCAAGAGTGAGTGGTTTAAATGCAATTTGCACTAAACCAATATGCAAAAACTTATGAGTTTTCAAATAAGGCATTATATCCTTTTTGTTTAAAAGACGAATCATCATTTCATCTTTATGAAGGGGAATCGARGATTCCGTGGTTTTAACAATATGTTTTAAACCAAGCTTTTCAAAGGTACCTATTTTATAAATAAGTTTTGATTCAACTCAGGGTTTTATCAAGAATTTGATCAGGAAACTTATCACCAAAAGCAATACTACGCTGGATAGGAATAATCGTTCCTTTTTCTATATCATGACCAAGAAATCGAATCTTAGTTTGGAAAAGAGACATTTTTGGTTTGGATATAACTAAATCATTTTGGATTACCAGAGTTTTAAAAGTATTAAGATGCTTAAAATGACTCTCAATATCTTTTGAAAAAACCAAAATATCATCAATATAAACAATGATAAAACTACTATAAGGGTAGAAGATATCATTCATAATCTGTTGGAATTCAGAAGGAGCATTTTTTAAACCGAAAGGCATAACCTTCCATTCATAATGTCCCATAGGAACATTAAAGGCTGTTTTATAAATATCATTTTCAGCAATCTGGATTTGCCAATAACCAGATTTTAAATCAAATTTTGAAAAGATAAGAGCTTGGAAAAGACGATCAAGAAGATCCTTCTTGTTGGGAATGGGATGTCTAATCCATTTRMGAACYTTATTGAGAGGCTTATAATTAATGACTAATCGAGGAATTCCTCKTTCCTGCTCTGAATGTTTATTAACATAAAAAGCGGTACAAGACCAGGGGGACTGGGAAGTTCTTATAAGACCTTTCTCAAGAAGACTACTAATTTCAGCCTTACAAAGGATAAGATAATCAGAATTCATTTGACAAGGTCTGGCCTTAGTAGGGATATTAAGCTCCGAGAAATCATCTTCATAAGGAAGAGAAACAATATGTTTCTTTCTAKCCCAAAAAGCATTGGGATGATCATTGCAAATGCTAAGAGAAAAATCATTATGAATAAAATCAATCTTAGACTTCAAACGAGGATTAGTAAGCTTTTCATCAATGGTTAAAGAAGAGATTTCTTCTTTAAGAGAGTATAAATGAAAAGTTTTTCGATCAATACGATCTTGAAGAATGTCAAGGAAACGTTTAACCGGTTCATCCATGAACTTGAAAGTAATGGCTTTATTGTGAAAGGTACCAGTAAGACCTTGCTCATCAATCTGAGTGATGGGATAGAGYTGGTATAAAAAGGGAAGACCAAGAATAACTTCATGAGAAATAACCTTAGTCAAGAGAAAACTAGTTGTAATACAACAACCTTGATTGCAAATTTTTGCATTTGAGAGTTTGAACTTGATATCAAGAGCACCTGATCAAATTCTTGATAAAACCCAATTACAAAGATTTTTGGGAAGTTTGAATTATATTTCAGCTTATATTCAGGACTTAAGTCATTATACTTCTCTTTTATATGATAGACTTAAAAAGAAATCTTGTTCTTGGACTRATAGTCATACTATTGCTGTTCAAGAAATTAAGAAAAAGGTTAAAAACCTTCCTTGTCTTATGCTCCCTAATCCTCTTTGGAATAAGGTTGTAGARACTGATGCTTCTAATTTAGGCTATGGCGGTATTCTTAARCAGATTGATCCTATTTCCAAACAAGAATAYCTTATTCGTTTTTATTCKGGTAAATGGAAAAATGCCCAACTTAACTACTCTGCTGTAGTTAAAGAACATTTTGCTATTGTTAAGTGTGTTCTTAAATTTCAAGATGATTTATATAATCAAAAGTTTTTAATAAA